CTTTGCATTCCAATCATCAGTAATCACCAATGCATCTTGATTGCACGTTTGATCAATTTCAGACTAAGGAAGCTGACAGGATTTTTCAATTTCATCATCATTGGCTCTAGTGGTTGGTGTGTAATTTGAATATAGTGGTATTAACTAGTCTACCTTGTAGATTTATGGAAATCTTAAAATCACAGACAGCGCTGTACTTTATGAAAGATCTTGAAATACTCTTTTTAGGATGAATGTGATGCCGCTCCTCTTTAATCTGCAGTTCCTGGCTTAGTGAAGCCTAGGAATGTCAAATCTAAAATGGCTGACACCTTCCCATTTCAGTTCACTAATGCTTAGGATACAAATATTTATGCATTTCTTTTACTTTCTGATGACTTCTAAGATTCCTAGATTCACATTTCGTACATTCCATGTTCTAATTAAAGGATGTTTGCAGCTGTTTCTTCTCATATTGAGTTGTCCCCATCAACAAATGAAGGTACTGAAAGCTTTGCTCAATTCATTTCATTAAGGTCAATGTTACTTTGAGAAGGCAGCTCTTCTCCAGTAATATCTGAAGTGCTTTTCAACCTGAAGGTCTCATTTCCTGGCAGTATATTACACAATGTTTTACTACTATTCACTAGGTTTCTAGTAGTTACCCATTCAGTAGTGGTTTGCCTCTCCTTCTTCCTAGTCCATCTTGTCTTAGTCTGGAAGCGCCACTGAAACCTGCCCTGTATTGGTTACCCTAGTTGTTGTTGTTAAATGTTGTCTAGTTGGTTTTAACTCTAGCACCCCTATATTGTATTTTTGAGGAGTGGCTGTTGAGTTTTAACCACCAACCTTGTGGTTCAAAGTTACCTTGTGACAGAGTGCTTATCACTCCAGACCCTACCGGTATTTAAAGTACTAGTGACAAAGCTTTCAGCATCACAGCAACACAAATGCTATAATAGTATGGCAAATGTCATACTGTGGTGAAGCGCTTAGATCCAGGTAACGATCAAGGCTAAGACACACAGACCTCCAAGGAATGTTGGGCCTGTTGCTGTTGTTATACTTAACAACAGATCAACACTTCTGCAAAAGAAAAATTTCATTGCACTTGTAACCTACATGTAAGTGTTGTTGTTAAGTGCCGTCGAGTCTTTTCTGACTAATAGCGACCCTGTATAGGGTTTCTGAAGGAGCTCTGGTAGCGTAGTGGTTACGAATCGGGCTTTGAACCTTAAGGTCAGCGGTTCGAAACTACCAGCTGCTCCACAGGAGAAAGATCAGGCTTTCTACTCCCGCAAAGATTTACACCCTCGGAAACCCTGAACAGGGTTGCTATGGGTTGGAACCGACTCGACGGCACTTAACAACAACAACACCATAGGGTTTCTGAGGAGCAGCTGGTGGGTTTGAACTGCTGACTTGTGGTTCTCAGTCCAATGCTTATCCGATATTGTTATACCAGGACATGTAAGTGGCTGTACAAAAAAATACGATTTTACCCACTATATTTGCAGAAGAGCTTGTGGTTACAAATGGCCAATGTTAAGAAAAGATTATTTGACTTATACAGGTGTTAGAGATAATGTTAAACACATAACTTTAGAAGCCAATTTTCAGAAACCTCCCAAAGCAAATTATTTTAACAGCTGTTCTAGAAAACTCATGGTCAGCCAAATCCTGTCACCTAGAGCTATCCTTGCAAAGGAAGTCACCCCCTACAAAGGTGGTCAACTAACACCTTGGCACATGGAACTTTATAAATGTTAACCAATAAACTTCAACTGTAGCTCCCTTATTTGCTGGTTCTGCCTTTACTAATCTCTGCAACTTTGAAAGTCTTAGGAACACTTAGTAGAGTTTGTCTTAATTGTGTTTCCTGCTCCACCAAACACTTTTTGCTTTGCTGTAATAAAACTCCTAGCTTTTAAAAATTTAAACAGACTCATGGTTCTTTCCATTGTAACAGTTCTTGATGCTAGAAACAAATTCTGAAGAACAGATCCCTCTGGAAGTAGCCTGAGAGCTGGGAAACCATCATCTGGACCCAGGTGAGTCTTTAGGACCACCCTTTCTTCTCCAGACTTTTGACAGCCACCTGCGTGAGTAGCCCTCAAATCTTGAGCCTCTGCCTGTTGTGTATGAGTTTCGCTGAGTTCTATTACTGGTTTATTTTAAAATTACTTTTGGTTTGTTCTCGTTTTGAATTTGGTCTACACTTGTTTTCCTCTGTCTCCCATATTTACATGTAAATGAACAAATGTTTTGGCTCATTCATATATGAGCTATGAGTTCCCTCTACCAGGAAGTCAGTAGAGAATATTGTTTCTCCACTTGCAGGTTTGGTTATCTTGGTTTTAATTTAGGTGTGCATTTTTTGGTTAATAGAAGAAACGGGTAAAACAAATACCAAAGTGAAGGGTACCCCTTGAGGACACTTGTATAATTTATGAGCAAATATTATGGTCCTACTTACTATTGGCACCTTTTTAAGTCGATGGCATAATCTAGCTAAATACAACTTGGGAACTATGTGACTTCCTTTACAGTCCTTTGACATCTCCAAATCAACTTTTTGTACAGCAAATGAAAACAAAAGAGTTCCAGGATTAAACAGACTCAATGGAACTCATATTTTAATTGGCATTTTGAAACTTTTATGAGAAATCAGAAGTCCTGGTGTGGCGCTGCCACTGGACTGCAAGGTTGGTTTGAATCACAAGATTAGTGGTTCAAATTCACCAGTTGCTCCTTGGAAACCCTATACAAGGTCGCTATGAGTAGGAACCAACTAGATGGCACTTAACAATAGCAACAATAAGAAATAGGAAAAGTAGTTAACCTAATTATCTATTAATACCCACTGTTGTTGCATTCATACTGACTCAGGGACACTGTAGGACAGAGTAGAACTGTCTGATAGGGTTTCCAAGTTTGTAAATCTTACGGAAGAAGGTAGTGGTGGTGGTGTGCTATGGAGTCAGTTCCGACTCATAGGGTTTCCAAGGCTGCAAATCTTTACTGGAACAGAAAGCCCTAGCTTTAGGGAATAAAAGTGTCTCATATTTCTCCTGTGGAGCAGTTGGTAGGAGTCCAACACTTCACCTATTGCAACACTAGTGGTCCTTAGTCTAAAAGACAATGATTCTAAATTAACAAATCAAAACAAAGTTCAGAGCTCTATTTCCATTTCTAATAGTTTGGCGCCATCTACTGCTCCCTCCACTACCCCTGCTATGACTAAAGTTTCCATTCCTTTCTACCCTCCTCTTCCTTCAGATGATACCTCTCTACCTGAGCATCTTTTTTCTCCCAAACGAAGATACTGCCTATAAACCTGTACCTAAGATACCTTGAAGTCCTGGTGTGGTGCTGTGGGTTAATGTGCTGGACTGTAAAGTTGGTTTGAACCACAAAGTTGGCAGTTCAATCTCACCAGCTGCTCCTCAGGAATCCTATACAGGGTCACTATGGATTGGAACCAACTTGACAGCACAAAACAACAACAAAAACAAGATATGTTGGGGTCCTGGTGTAGCACAGTAGGATAAGCACTCTACCGAAAGGTCGGTTTGAATTGCAAGGTCAGTAGTTCAAACTTACCAGCTGCTTCTTGGAAACCTTATACAGGGTCACTATGAGTCGGAACCTGCTCGATGACACTTAACAAGATACTTTTTAAGATTAAAACCACTTGGACACTTAGTATCTTCTTAGGAGATCATTTGGGAACTAATTTCACCCTTTTTTTTCTTTTCGCTAATCCACTAATCATAATAGGATGGCAGTGGTGGTGGTTGTGTGCCACTTAGTCAGTTCCCACTCAAAGTGACCCTGCATAGTAAATCTTTATGGGAACAGAAAGCCTCATTTTTCCTGCGGAGCAATTGGTAGATTTAAACTGCTCACCTTGAGGTTAGCAGCCAGCTTGCAATCCATACTAGTTGTTGTTGTTGTTAAATGCCTTTGAGTAGGTTCCAACTTACAGCAGCCCTGTAAAAGATTTCTGAGGAGCAGATGGTGAACTTGAACCATCAACCTGATGATTCAAACCAATCTTGCAGTCCAGTTCATTAACCTGCAGTATTACACCAGGATTCCACTACACTATTAGGGCACCAACATAGTGGTTACGAGTTGGGCTGCTAACCTCAAGGTCAGGAGTTCAAAACGACCAGCTGTTCCAAGGGAGAAATATGAAGTTTTTTGCTCCCATAAAGATCTGCAGTCTCGAAAGCCCTATATAGGGCCGCTATGAGTCGGAACCCACTGCACGGCACGTAATCACCACCACCACCACCACCACCAAGCTAGCAGGTTTAAAATAACTCCCATTACTGTTGTAATTATATTAACTAAAGGTGTTCAGTTTTCTTTTATAATTTGTGGTGAAAATACGGATAACAAAAAAATATACTTTCTCAATTATTTCTACATGTATAATTCAGTGGTACTGATTATGTTCTTCAAGTTGAGCACTCATTGTTGCTATCCTTTTCCAAATCATGACACCATCATTAACATAATTTCATTGCCTCTTAAGTAAAAACTCTACGTTTTTACCTTCTTTCCATCCCTTGCAACCTTGAATAATTTTTGGTTTCTATATATTCGCCTGTTTCACGTAAGTGAGGTCATACTGTATATCTGTCATATTTCACTGAACATGGTTCCAAGGTTCATCCATATATAGAGCATGCATCAGGACTTCATTCGCTTTATGGTTGTACAGTCAGGGCAACTGTACATAACATTAAATGGCAAGTGTGGGTTGTTTTTAAGTCGGATGTTCATGACTTTATTCACACAGCTTTTCAGGACAAGAATCATCAGAGTCTCCCATTTATAGAAATTAATAAGATACAGTTACTATAACTTTGCTATAGTCACTGGCATTATGTTCAATTCAATGCTTAGTGTACCAATCACAATGACCCAGCATAAATTCATTTGAAGACTGAAAATCAGTTCACTTATTAGAATATAACATAGTTATTCTAATTAAAATAAAACCATCATACCATTTGGTGATACCATACCAATCTTTGATAATGTCCTGAAGGACAGCACGATAGAAGAGTGATTCAGTAGGCAGCTGAAAAAAAGTGAAGACATGTATTAGAACACAAAACAAACATAAAAACAGTGATCAAAATCAGTACCACAGAGTTTGGACTATAACAGTCTGCTAGAAATTTGACATAGTTTGGTAAACAGAAAAATTTTATAATATTATAACCTGTAGTTCAAGAATTATCATGCGGCTAATTCCCGCTGAGAAAATAATTCTGTAAGAAAACACAGGAAACAATAAAGTAATAGCAGTGAATGAGAGAAGAGGTACCATTAGTGAAAAATGAACTACTGCCCCCAATGAAGTATTTATTCAGTTGAAAAGGCAGAAATAAACTTTCAAGACCAGTCAAGTCATCCTGGAATTTATAAAACATCAGAGTCATGTGAGCTATAAGTACATGAGAAATGAATATGGCTTGGTCCTTATGGTGATGCTACAGAGAAAATAGCAAGTAAGATTTACCCCATAAAAGAGAGAGTACTACCAAAAGTAAGGAATACTTAAAATATGTCTGAGGTCTGAAAGATCCAAGCAATGGTTACTGTAGAGTTGAAGAAGGGGGTTAGAAACGTATAGGACCAGAAATGGCAGTCTTAGAAAGTTTTAACTCTGGGGGAAAGAGGTAAAAAGAAGTGTCCTGTGAAGGTTCAGTGATGAAAAAAGGAAAGGTTGACAAGAAAAACCCCAGTGAATCATGATAGTTTTAAAGAAGTGAAGGCAAAACGGGACTATTTATAACTGAAAAAGCACTTCACTGCAGCAACAGAAGAGGTACTCTTGATACTAAGAAACCACAAAGGTCATTAAACCCTCATTTTCATCCCCACAGACCTTTTGATATTGATGATACAGGACATTCTGACAAATATACAAAAATTATCAACAACAGCAGTAATACCCCAGCTTCCCTGAAAATTCATTACTGGAGAGAATAAAAAGGAAAATGAGCACCTGCTAAAACTTTCTGGCAAATTCACCCAGAACAACAACATAAGAAAGCATGACAAACAGCTTTAACATACGCCCCCAATGTGAATTAAATAAGATTTACAAAATTTCATGAAGCTATAATGGCTCAATGGTTAAGTACTTAGCTGTAACTGAAAGGTTGACAGTTTTAACCCATTGTCTGTTCTGCAGAAGACAGATGTGACAGTCTGTTTCTGTAAAGCTGACACTCTTGGAAACCCTATGGGGAGGTTCTACTGTGTCCTACAGGGTCGCTATGAGTTGGAATCAATTGGATGATAGTGAGTAGTTTTAGGTAAGAAAGATACAGATGTAAACAGGCATCAGTTATCTGGACCAAACCAAACTAAACAAAAGGAACAAGAACAACAACATAAAATCAGATTACAAATGTACAAATAACAGGAAAATATTGACATTTTAAATGAAAAGTCAACCAAACCCTAAAAAGAAATTAAACAGAAGAAAAGAAATAATCTAAAAACTAATGACTAAAATAGTAAGCAGCCATGAGTGATGAGATATGATTGAAAGGTAGACAGGGACATAGAAGGTAGAAAGATAAAACAAAAGAAAAAATTTATAAAAGTATAGCTATATAAATCCACTGCCACTGAGTCAATTCCAACTCACAGTGACCCTATGTAGGGAGTCCGAGACTATATATCTTTCATAGAGCAGAAACTCTCTTCTTTCTCCTGTGGAGTAGCTGGTGGAGTTGAACAGCAGACCCTAGGTTTAACAGCTCAATAGCCAAGCCACAATACCCAGGGATCCTTATTAAATATAATATATATATGCTATTGTTGTTTAGTGTCGTCGAGTTGGTTCCAATTCACAGTGACTCTGTATAGGATTTCCAAAAAGCAGCTGGAGGCTTAAAGTGTCAACCGTGCACTAGTGTTTATCCTACAGTGTCACATCAGAACCTCAGTATATATATGTTTTTGCTGTTAAGTGCTGTTGAGTCATTTCTGACTGTTGGCAACCTTGTATAGGGTTCCAAGGTGTGGCTGGTGGGTTTGACCCAGCAATTTAGTGGTTAGAAATGCACATATATTGCTGTTAAGTGCTGTTGCATCTGTTTCTACTCACAGCAACCTTAAATAGGGTCTCCAAGAAGCAGTTGGTGTGTTTGAACTGTTGACCTGCAATTATCATTCCAGTGCTTATCTAACAGTGCCATATTAGTTGCTGTTGTTAAGTGCCATCATATTGATTCTGAGTCATAGCTACCCTGCGTACGGTTTCTGAGAAATGGCTAGTGAGTTTGAACTGCCGACCTTCAGGTTCAAATATACCTTGCTGTCGAGTAATCATCCTTCAATGCCAAATCAGGAATCTATCTATCTATCTATCTATCTATCTATCTATCTATCTATCTATCTATCTATCTATCTATGACTGTACAAGAATTGATATGCTTGAATTATGGTGTTGGAGAAGAATATTAGACTGCCAGAAGAACAAATATATCTGTCTTGCAACAAGTTCAACTGGAATGCTCCTTAGAATCCAGGATGCTGAGACTTTGTCTCTCACACTTTGGACATGTTATCAGGAGGAGACATCATCTTGGTAAAATGGATGGCCAGTGAAGAAGAGATGACCAACCAGTGTCAAAAACAATGGGCTCAAACATAACAACAATTGTGAGGATGGTGCAGGGCTGGGCAGTGTTTCATTCTGTTGTGTAACGTGTCACGATGATGGTGACTAACAGCACACACACACAAAAACACAAACACATATACACACATACAGAAGGGGAGAAATGGTGGTTCTGTAAGTACTGAACTGTGAACCAAAAAGTCGATAGTTCAAACCCACCTGCTGCTCCATGGGAGAAAGATAAGACTTTCTGTTCCTATAAAGATTTACAGCCTCGGAAATCCTACACTGGGTCACTGTGAGTCAGAACAGACTTGACTGCACTTAACAATAATATATATACATACATACATACATACATATAGGGAGTCCTGGTGTGGCATTGTAGGATAAGCATCGGACTGCTATCTACAAAACTCAGCATTTCAAATACACCAGCTGCTCTTTGGAAATGCTATAAAGGGTCACTATGAGTCAGAAATGATTTGACAGCACTTAAACAACACCACCAACACCACACACACACACACACACACACACATACATATATATATATATGAGGCCCATAGGATAAGCATTATGTTGCTAATTGTTAAGTTTGGCAGTTCGACCCAAGCAGCCACTCTACAGGAGAAAGATGAGGCCTTCAGTCCATATAAAGATTTACAGCTACATAAACCCTATACAGGATCCCTACTGTTGTTAAGTGCCATCAAGTTAGTTTGCTGTAAGTGGGTTTATATATATATATATATGGGAGAGTGTGGGTTGGCATGGGATTTACAGTGTGAGTGAGAGAGAAATATATTGGTTTTTGTTGCACAATTAACATATTTTGTTGAAGGACAAGGTAGAGAAGGTAAAGTTGACTTGGAATCCACTCACAGAATGCCGAACAAAGACCTAGTCAGGGATTAAAATCCCCTTGATAGGAATATCAGGTACCATTTTGCAGTGTGATTTTAGAAGAGCTATAGCCAAGATCCACCACTTATCTATCACTGTGTTGTAGTGTGGTGGCTTGCATGTTGCTGTGATGCTTGCAACTATGTTGTTGTTCTTGTTAAGTGCTGTCAAGTTGGTTCTATCACATAGCGACCCTGTACAGGATGTCCAAAGAGCAGCTGGTGGATATGAACTGGCTGGTGGGTTTGAACCACTGACCTATTGGTTACAAGTCCAGTGCTTATCTTACAGTGCCCAGCAGGGTTACCCATGGTGGACAGGTTTCAGCAAAGCTTCCAGACTAAGACAAAATAGGAAGAAGGGAAGGCAGATGACTTCTGAGAGGTTAGCCTCTGAAATTTACGAGTAGCAGCCAAATGTTATCTAAAATAGTGCAAGAAGTTGAGGCCTTCAGATTGGAAGACCTCTAATTATTACTGGGAAAGACCAGTCTCCTCAAAAGACCACAGCTGAAAATGAGAAGAAAATAACTATACAAGCATCCATTAATGATCAGAATACAGAATGCACAAAGTTTAGGAAAAGTTAGGAAAACTAGAAGTTATCAAAAATGAAGTGGAACATATAATGCTTGGTATTTTAAGCATTAGTGAGCTGAAGTAGACAAGTAAGTATTGGCCATTTGGAATTTGACAATAATATGGTTTACTTACTATGCTGGAAATGACAAACTGAAGAGGAATGATGTCACATTCATCCTCAGAAACAGCATCTGAAGATCCTGAAGTACAATGCTACCCATATGCCCCACATGGAAGACCAGTTAATACTACTATTATTCAAATTTGTACACCAGCCACTAAATCCAGTGATAAAGAAATTGAAGAACTGTACCAACTTCTTCAGCCTGATATTGATCAAATATGCAACCAAGATGCATTGATAATTACTGCTGATTAAAATGAAAAAAATTGGAAACAAAAAGGGAGGATCTGTAGTTGGGAAATTATGGCATTGGTAATAGAAATGATGCTGGAGATCACATGACAGAATTTTGCAAGACTAATTACTTAGTCATTGCAAATATCTTTTTGAACAACATAAATGGTTACTATACATATGAGTCTCACCATATGGAATATACAGGAATAAAATTTACTATATCTGTGGGAAGAGAATATGGAAAAGTTCAAAAGAAGGCTAAGGACAGATTCTCGAACAGACCATCAACTGCTCATTACATGTTTAGGTTGAAGTTGAAGAAAACTAAACTAATTCCTCAAGAGCCAAAATATGACCTTGAATATATCACACCTGAATTTAGACACCATCTCCAGAATAGCTTTGGTGCACTCGACACCAATGCCTGAAAACCAGAGGAGTTTTGAGGTGAAAAAAAGGACATCACACATGAAGAAAGCAAAGGGCCATTAAAAAGACAGGAAAGAAAGTAAAGACCACAAAGGACATCAGAAGAGACTCTGAAACTTGCTCTAGAACATAGAGAAGTCAAAGCCACTGGAAGGGATGAT